GTATAATTAAAAAAATTTCTTGATAATATATGATGCTATCTATCTATGTATACTACATATATGCAGGAATAGCAAAATTTTTTATGTAGTAAAGGAAACCGTAAATTTGTGTCAAATTGTAAGTGGAAATTATAACGAAAATTTGTTTGAATATTTAAAACGGTGTTAAAAGTACCGAAAGAGTAAAATGTTATTAATAAATTTATTAAGAATTAAATATATACTTAAATTTAAAATAATACAGATATATATTTACTCTTAGGGGTAATAAAGTAGCGAAATTGTAGCAAATAAAATTAAACCATAATTTGCGTACACAAAATAGTGTTTAAATATTTATCTACAGGGCCCTCCGAGCCCTTCTATGCAATAGGACTACACGCTATTAGAGAAGAGCTTTGGCTGCAGACAGAGTTGAAGCGAAGCCGAAGATGAATTGAATGAATTGATGACAAAGCCGAAAACGAATTGCTTGCGTTGTGGGCAAGCTGGCAAGTGGAGATGAATACGATGCAACACTATTAAAATGGATTTGTCTTCAGATGGAGAATTGCTTTGAAATTAAAACCTTTTCCTGCACATAAAATTCCAAGAAAAGAAAAATAACAATTCGATCTTTACCCGTAAAAGATATAAGCGAAATTTTTTTGAAAAATTTTCTTTTTGATGCAGAAATGTTCCTATAGCACGTAGATGCATTTCTACATGAAAAATAAAATTTTGAAGCGAATGTCGCTTACGTCTTATTGGTGGTTAGGGCTCAAATTCATGAAATTTGGCGAATTTCACCATTTACAAATTTGTCAGATGTACAAGAATGTCAATTAATACGTTTGATGAGGCTATGTTAGGAGGTCGTTTCCGTGGGTGAAGAGAAAGTGTGACCCAAGGTGATCAAACTTCGTAAAAGTAGGGCACCAGAGAGGCAGGCGTTGAGATGATTTCACCTCACCAACCTCCGTGCAGCTGGGTCATTGATGACACTAAGCCAATCACGCAATAGCCAGTCAAAACTCTCACAACCAGCGAGAAGTGTACTCCACTTAGTCCCAAAAGCTCCCGGCACCACCTTCGATTGCATTCCAAGGTATTCGTCCAGCGCCCGCTGAGCTGACCAAACGCCCATNGAGTACGCATTTCTACATGAAAAATAAAATTTAGAAGCGAATGTCGCTTACATCTTATTGGTGGCTAGAGCTCAAATTCATGAAATTTGGAGAGTTTCACCATTTAGACATTTTTCAAATATACAAGAATGTCAATTAATACGTTTGATATGGCTATGTTAGGAGGTCGCTTCCGTGGGTGAAGAGAAAGTGTGACCCAAGGTGATCAAACTTGAGATTCGTAAAAGTAGGGCACCAGAGCGGCAGGCGTTGAGATGATTTCACCTCACCAACCTCCATGCAGCTTGGTCATTGATGACACTAAGCCAATCACGCAATAGCCAGTCAAAACTTTCACAACCAGCGAGAAGTGTACTCCACTTAGTCCCAAAAGCTCCCTGCACCGCCTTCGATTGCATTCCAAGGTATTCGTCCAGCGCCCGCTGAGCTGACCAAACGCCCATCTGTCCAGGAGTACACCACACGAGGTCAAGGGAGCACTCAGACCAGCTCTGGCCGGAAGCAGCTCTTCAAGCATTCCTTGTATTGCCAGCTGTATTGCCAGCTAGGTTTGACCCAAATAAACTTAATAGTATAACAATCCGATGCGGTATATAGGGAGGTCAAGCAATCCCTCACCGTTATCGATAGCACCATCAGAGAGCCAAGAGCTTTGGTGGCTTCTGGCTGTCGGAATAGAAAGACGTTACATTAGTGAGCAACAAATCCTTCTTGATTTTTTCATCTACCTTAGGGCTCCAGGAAAGCCAGGAAGCAGCTATGCATTTATCAGGAATGTCCCTGTGTCCAGGGACCCATACAAACGTCAAGTAGATTTTTTTATTCAAACTAGAAATTACCCCTTCCTGTGGGAAGTAACTCATGACTATGATCTTCATATCGTCGCTCCCAACGAAGAGTAGCACATCTCAAATTACCGTGGAAGACTAGCACGTTTCACTATTCGCGTCGAAGACTAGCACATTTCATTATTCGCGTCGAAAAGTAGCACATTTCAGATTCTCGCGTGGAAGACTAGCACATTTCACTAATCGCGTGGAAGACTAGCNGGCTTTGGTGGCTGCTTGGCTGTTGGAATAGAAAGGCGTTACACTAGTGATCAACAAATCCTTCTTGATTTTTTCATCTACCTTAGAGCTCCAGGAAAGCTTGTTGTCAAGGATCAAGCCCAAAATGTCACCCTATCAGAAAGCCTTAGTGGAAGACCGCCCATTGAGGGAAGACGGCAAGTCCTAGTAAAAGTAACCGGATTTTAATTGATTACGAATATCAAGTTTTTCGTTTCTCTGTTGTGTCAATGCCAATTAAAAATGCCAACTGAGGCCGAATGCTTTCCAAGGTTCTCGTCATCTTCCGCTACCACTGATAGTTTAATTCAATCCACTCTATATTTATGTATGGAGTTGCACATCTCGTACAGCTATTGGAAGTGCATAAGGGATCGTTGCTTATATTAGGGCAAAAATTATAAGCGACATATGGAGTGTAGTTTTTGTTTCGCTGAGATAGGACTCTCATCTTCAATTGCCTACTCAGAGCAAGGTATCACTCAGGCAAGCAAGATGGATTCTCTGAGAAATTTCAAGACTGACATTTCTATTGGTCTAAAGAAGTCCTCACGTGAGGACCGAGACTCGAGTGTGCTGACTGCGTGCCTGGTGATGGCGGCATGGGATTCTTTGTCTTGCATCCCCTCATATTTGCAATGGTATGGTTGCCCTTCGGTAGCTTAGTGTTTTCGAGAACGTCTACTAGTCGGGTTGAGCCTCATTCCCATTAAGCATCCTGACATTTCAAGTGAATACCCTTAATCATACATCCATTTGGTGTTTATCGCTTTAATGAGTTCAGCCTGTAAACCTTGTTTGCAGGAGGATAGAGGTATGCCCGAAGCTTGTGCAGAATTGGCTTCGGATATTTGCATTACTCTCCTTGCCGGCTCGTCAGCTATTTATTTGCCAGGAATGCCCCTGTGTCCAGGGACCCGTACAAATGTCAAGTAGATTTTTATGAAAACAGGTTGAGACCCATTCCTCATTATATGGGAACATTAAACGTTTATTCCGTTAGGTTTTAAAGATTTAATATCAGCTCGGCCGTCAGAATGCTCGGCCGTCGCGGAGGGTCGTCCAAGTACACCATTTACCATTTCAAACTAGAAATTTCCCCTTCCTGTGGGAAGTATCTCATGACTATGATCTTCACATGATTGCTGCCCTGGGATGATTGATTTCGTGCTCACGAAGCATGTCGGCAGAAATAACTTCAATGTCCGGTGTCTGAAACATCCATGTAATACAATTTCGACGACGTTTTTATACCTTTACGAAAACAAAATGAGAGAAGACACACGGAGTAATTTCCTTAGACTTGAGTGCCAGTTTAATCTTACCAACCGAGTACTATAGGACATAATAAACCTGAGTTTGGGGTAAGGGAGCTGAAAATCTTATTTTACCACCAAATATGTAGCAGTTCTAACAGCCTTTAGATGATTTTCAACAGAAGGTGTGAAGGTTAAAATAATAGGTCTTTTTTGACTTAAGTGTGCTCACCATGTCCCAACCTATTTAGTTCAAGATGTAGCCATATCTGCTAAGAGTTTCAACTATTTGGTAACCTACGATTCGAGGAGCCAGGAGTCAACCGATCTTGTCCAAACAAGAAACTCTGAAAGTGCACTCGAAGCAAGTATTTCAGAGGCTCAAACTCGTTGCTGACTGAAATAAAGTAAGTATAGAAAAAGTTATTTAAGGATATAATTTGTTGTTTTCTAAGTATATTTTTTTTTCAGTTTTGAGAAGCCTCTTAACTACTTACCAAGTATATAAGTAAAGACAATTTTACTTAAAGAGTACTCAATTATTTATAGTTAATATATTACACTGTCTAAGTACCCTGGCCAGCAGCAAAATAAGCACTTAAAACGTTGGCATCAATCACTTAAATTTTATAAGTATATTACCAAGAAAACTTTAGAAATATGTACTCTAGTCTTAAAGCACATCGCCCAAATGGTTGGCAACAACAAGCAGCTAAAAAAACATGTACGATGCAGGAAAAAGCTAACAACACGGAGGCTGATGTAGTAGCGAATATCGAAAGATATGAGTAGAATACTTAAATACAAATATGTATGTATTCAATGAAATAACAAAATTATAACAGTTACTACCGTGCTAAGCGAAAGTGCTTGCTTCAGATATTCCCACACACACATTTTCTCTTTGTATTAACTTTACATTTTTATTTTGACAAATTGAGTGCTCTGTAGAAAGTGTTTTTTTTTATCAAGTTTATCAATAAATAAATCATTACATATTTAGTTGTAAGTGCTGTGGCCCGATAGTGCTCCGATTAAAGAAGAAAAAATAGTTGTTAAGGATAGGTTTTACTTTGAGAGATGACTTACAGTTATTTATATGTATACCAAATATACAAGTATTAGCAGTTTGTGTGTCTGTAGTAGTAAAGGCGCGGGTTGAAGTGTTTATAAGTTACAAATAAAATAAACTAGAAAAAAAACAGCTGATAGTCTGATGAAATGTGGTACTGCTATGAGTAGATGTAAGTACTATATATGTAAGTAGCTATGTAATTTTTCGCGTTTGGATAATGCTTACGGTTAGTGGGAAATGAAAGCTAAAAATGAAATGAGACTACTAAAATTAAGTGTGGTTTTCAGGTGAAAGAAAATCAAATTGAATATGTACGTACAAAATTACTCGTATTTGGATTAATAGTAATTAGGGATGTGCCGAGTATCCGGTGGATATCTGGAATCCGTTTTATTCGGTCGCTTTCCTGTTATCCGAATATCCATCCGG